GGTAAAACATACAAAGTGCAAAGGGACTGGATTTGCTACAAAAGGCATACTGATAACTAGTACTTAGTTATCTACATCTGCTTAATACAAGATATACTTTGTGTATGTAATGCATATTTATTCCTCCAGGAGAGTTTCCCTTTTAAATGTGTTATTTGTGAGAAAAATCTTTGTTAACTTTTCATATTTGGGAAGACATAGATATATTAAATGTTCACGTCTCCTGCTAGATGTTCTACCTACCTGTTTTTAAACAAGAAACAAAATATCTCAGCTAAGTATCAAACCATTTCACTTTTACTACTGGTAATGTGATAATATTCATGTATATTTTATATTAAACAAATAACTACAAGATAGTTTAAGATGTAAAATGCTCTGTCGCATCTGAACGTTCATCTGTTACTTTAGATAGAATACTGAGAAAAACTGGGATCTGAATAATTGTAGTTTTGTGGTTCTGCATTATTTTTATGAGTTTTTTGGGGAGGGTTTGTTTTTATTTTCCTGCAGCACTTCTCACTTCATCCACCATCCTCTGTACTAATGTGCGGGACAACAAATTGCTGCTTTGGTGAATGGCTGGGCTATGGCCAATTGCTGAAAAATTCTTTGTCCCAGGCATTTGATTCCAGCCTCTTGGAGAGTACACATTTAAATTGCCTAAAAGCTAGTGAATAATAAGTGAATAATACAGCAGAAGTGAATAGTGCAACATGAAAATCCACTATGCAGATTTTGAATGGTCCTGGGGAAAACTACTCAAAATGCAATCAAATTCAGCAGCATGTTGTGATGTGTTTCCTTTTTATGCAGACATTGCCAGCACAGCCAAGAACTTCTTCACAGTAATGATTTGAGAAGCCTGATGCTTTTGCGATGTGGCATGTACTGCCATTAAATTGCAGCCAACATATACTAAAACCACTTGTTGGTCTGGCTCCTGCTGAGATTACAGAAATCAGCCTGTAGGAACACTATGAGCCAGCATGCCTCTGCGGTCTCCACCCCAGGATGTTCTGGAAAGACACGTACTGTGCAAGCTCTAGGGCTGAAAACGTGCTCCAGACTCTATTTGTGTAAACAAAGCTGGCAGCTTGGGTGGATATTGTGGAGCAAAAAGAGCACTGTGTGAGTTGCTGGGAGAATCAAATCAACCAAGCCAGAATATGCACAATTGCTTGGAGTTTGTTTTCTAAAAAGATATAAACAAAACTAGGCAAAGGACATCCCTTTGAACTAAACTGAGAACCTTGGGGATATTTATAATACACAGATTCACCCAAGCAATCCCTCAGTTCTTATATCCTGTTGATCTTAAGAGGACATTTTAACAGTCCAAGAGATAAAATCAGAGAAAATTAAGTTAAATGTGAGATTTTCAGGCCAAACGTCATCAGCTCCAAACTGAAAACACAGACCTAATTCAGAAACTGGGTGGAGTGCCTGCACAAATTGCATGATTTAACAATTGTCCTTTTCTGTCTGTGTCAGCATGAACTTTGTAAATGCACACTTAGAAGAAAACATAAGCATGATATGCAAAAACAATATGGAAATTAGGAGAGGATGAAAGCTATTTATATGGTTCTAAGAAAAATAAATTTATTTCCATATAACCATCCTTGGTTCCTTGAATACAGTGTTAGTTGAATACTATTTTTTTTTTAAAAAAAATCAGTGTTTGAGCTGGACTGGAAGAAGATTTTTTAGCAATTTTAAGCTTACCTAGTAAACTGTAATCAATTTGGGAATGCCTTACATCAATGCACAAAAAAAAACAAAAACCCAGAGGATTAATTTTAAGAACTGTTATTGATTAAAAGCCCAATGACTGGGACAAGTTGAAAACCTTCTTTTATTTAATTTTCAGAGGTTTTTTGGCTAGTTAGTAGTTAAGAAGATTTGTGGGTTTTTTTTAAAAAAATCTAATATAATATTACAATTTTATAAACACATAAACTCACCAAAGTGTTCCTATTCATTAGATTAAGAGTCCCAACACTTATCATTGAATTCCCCCCCCCCCCACTTCTTCCACGGCATTTCCCATCCACACTTGTAGGAAAATATGGGAACCCATCAAATTATCTTGAATGCTTTCTTGTTAAGATTCTTTGAAAGACGCCCATTACTTGACCATTGCACTTTCACCCTGTTTTATGTTTGCTGAATTTCTCCTGACAGTTGACTTTTTTGCTTGCCAGAACCACAACAAAGGAAAGCCTTGAATTTTCATTCAGGCCATTCCCCCCCCCACATCTCCCCCACTTTATTTCATTCTCTGCTCTGATCATCTCACAAAGATATTATTGTTGCTGGCTGGTTGGGGCTCAGTGCACCTGAAGCAGATCAAAGCCACTGTTTCATGCCAACTTGACCACACAGGTCTCTCTCCTACTGCATTAAATTAAATCTGATGATTCATCTCTATTGCCCTCAGGGTCCCTGGATACAAAGGAGAAATGTATAGAAAGATTTTTAACAAAAACATGGAGGATAATAAACTTACATTTTATAGACCTAATTAAAAAAAGGTACAGTTAATTTCAACCAACTGCAGCTGCATATACATCTCATTAAAAAGACATATACAATTGCTCTATGTCCTTGGCCCAGTATAAACAGGTACAGATAAAAGGATCCTTCAACCAAAAGTCTTTTAAATATTCACTCCAGATTTGCCATTGATTTCTCCAATGGAAAATTGCATTGCTTATTACAATGAAGTAAGATGGGCAAAAGTTACATTAAGGCTGGAACGTATTTATAGTCCAATCCTAAAAGTGTGTTCGGTGGTCTTCTATTCAGGTTGTTGTGTACAACATTATGGCCTCACATATGAATTACTTTAAGAAGAATTTCAATTATAACAATGTTCCAGTTATGATCGGGGGTAAATAACTGGTACCTATGGAGGCCTCCTAGAATTGATAACTTAGTAATTCAGTTGTTAAGTGAATCTGGCTTCCCCATTGACTTTGCTTGTCAATGGGTGATCACATGACTTTGGGACACAGCAACGGTCATAAAAGTGAACCGGTTGCCAAGCATCTGAATTTTGATCACATGATCATGGGGATGCTGCAAAGGCCGTAACTGTGAAAAACGGTAATAAGACGCATTTTTCATGCCGTTGTAACTTTGAACGGTCACTAAACAAACTGTTGTAAGTCAAGGACTACCTGTAAATAAATAATGGTTCACAGATTTACCTATATCCCATTCTTAATTGCCGTGGCTTGGCTAGTCTAATCAAAATGATAAGAATGCTACTGGAAGACTTGGTGTTGACTCCTAGAGTCACATAGATATATTATTAAAGAAATATTCAGCATTTAAATGCTCAAAACACTTAGCCTTTGTTTCTTCTCCTATACTTAGGAGAAGACTCAAGCCTCAAGTCCAAAATTTCAATGCTACCAGCTCTCCGGTTTACTGTCCTCATGAGTTTGAGATAGGACCATAAGAAAAGAAAGATGAAAAAGGGATAAGACAACAAAATGATTCCAGATGGATTTATTTGGCCTGGGTTTATTCCAAACTGAGTTCAAAAGAGTTCAAAAGAATTTCCCACTACCACAAAACTATCCAAGGCACACGTAGACTCAATTTTTCCTTTGCTAGGAATTACAGTTCATACAAAAACTCATATATCTAAACAGCTGGATCAAAATTATTTTCTTTATAATTGAATACTAAGGTACTAGACCAGTGGTTCTCAATCTTTTTATACTGACGACCCCGCTCATAAGGAGGCAGTGCGCATGCGTGGCACGCATGCGCGTCGGCACCCCCTGTGCGCCACGCATGTGCGCCGCCCCCCCTGCGTGGCATGCATGCGCGCCAGTGCCCCCTGCACACCATGCATGCGCACCGGCGCCCCCTGCGCGCCACGCATGCGCGGCGGTGCCCCCTGTGGGACGTGCATGCGCGGCGGCGCACCCCTGCGGGACACGCATGCACGGCGGCGCCCCCGTGCGCCGCCCCTGTGCGGCGCGCATGTGCGGCGGCGCCCCCTGCGCCGGCTGAGGGAAAAAAAATGGCGGATCGCGTTGTTTGGCAACCCCCGTGAAATGGTCGTTCGACCCCCAAATGGGGTCGCGACCCACAGGTTGAGAACCGCTGTACTATACTATTGTTGACAGCAATCCCTTATTATAGTTTTTTTTTCTGCATGCAAGCATATATATGAGGCTACAAATACCAGTTTACAAAATTCTAATTTATACTACCCATTTAATGTATATAAAGATATACAAAATGTTTACACTATAATTAGTAGAGAATGTGTATACCTAACCATTTTTGCTTCATATACGTCAATTTTATTACATTTCATACAATGATACAGTTTATATAAATTATTTCTAAATGAATCAAAAATGATAGAAAATCTAGTCACAAAAATTGATTGATTTCAGGCTTAACAATATTAATTTTAAAAAGAGACACTCTGAGCTGAGATTACAACTCCAGGGAAAAGCTTTTGCGCTAATTCACTGAGAAAAATTATGGAAGCAAAAATGGCTTACCCTGCCTCTTTTGGAGCCACAATCTGTCTCAAAATTTTATAGATCATTAGAGCACTCAAAGAAAGAAAGATTTATATTGATTAGGTAAGGAGGTGGGAGAAATAAAAGTCTGTGGGGCTTTTCTAAAGACACTGAATATTCCATTATAGAGTAGCGTCATTCTCATCAAGGGTTACTCCGGGTCCAAGTCCCCAGCTATAATTTCATAATGCCCAGTTAAAGTCAGAGTAGAATAATTTTTAACACCGCTTTTATATTTTGGGCTTTTTCCACAGTACTGGTTATCTACTATTATTATAGCTGCTTCTTTATGGCAAATTCATGATGATATATAAACCTATGAAGGTAACAATAGCTTCAAGATCCTCACAATTCAAAAGTATAAATGATATTAAAAGATGTTTAAAGGTTCATTTTTCATCAGCTATATTATACGCAGTTGTTAATTTATTACCGTGAACTTACCGCCATGTGGCATGATGATGTCCCACATATTACAGCCAATCGGGAAGCAATTGGCTGATTTTCACAGGGCATGTTATGTCCTTTCACATTGGCTCCAATCATACCTGGTCCAAAAATTAAGAAGAAAGAAAACTGGCCAGTCAAGCAAAACAAAACTTTTAAGAGATATTTGTTGAAAAACCTGCCAAATATTAAAAAAAAACCCAGCCTGTATCTTGATCTTGCAAAATTATAGCCAAAAGTCTGCTAAACAATAGGATGAAGCAATAGGATAAGAACAGTAGAATTAAATAAGATTTATGGCTGGACATACCCACGCCTGTAGGAGATAAAAGGTTTACACAGCTGCTAATATGGTGGTAGAAAGTGCATGTATTGGTAGGCCTGCAGGATTTCAAAATGAAAAATGATGAGGCAATATCTGAATCCTTTTTTGCCACTTTCCTCCCTTCTAATTTATGTAAGCAATCCTACTATCAAGCCAAATCATCGGGTGCTTTTGAATTTAAAAATCCAAAAAGTAGAAGAAGGGCTCTTCGTCTTTCACGGAACTTGGACTTTTCCGGTAAAATTACTGTACTGAGAATTCAACGGAAAATAGCTGTTTATGTAAGATATAACTCTATTACAGGATATGCTATAGTAAAGATGTAGAGAAGTCTGCTGGCTTATAATACTATTAATAAGGCTGCATGGTAGGAACCAGTTGTTCCTGTGCTAAAAACAACTGTTATTTCAATGTACATCAAGTGCCTTCCAAAGGCATCTAAAGAACAGCCAAGAGAAGAAAAAGGCTGGCACTTAAAACCCTGGAGGACAGATCTACACATTGAGTTTAATTTCAGTGTTCTGCAGTGGGCAGATTCCTATGTGAATATACCTTCACTCTTGTCTGCAATGAACAGACTAATCTTGCTGAGTCAAGTCTATCAGCTTTCTACCAAGTATGCTGATTCCTGAATATGGGATTAACTATCTGGAGAGCTCAGATTTACATCTGTGCTTGTATGAAACCTAACAGATAGCTTTAAAAGGATATTCTGTGTTATCAAAAGCATTTATAACTTCCTTTTGTGCTCTCTATTTCAATGGCTTCCAGAATATTTTTTTTAAAAAAATTACAGACAATTCTTGGAAGATGCTCTTATCTGTCTCTATCAGCCATCATGTTTTTATGGAATTTCTAGAATCAGAGGCAGTAAGTGCCAGGTGCAAACCAAACAGCTGGCAAAAATTTTTATCTTCACACTTTATTTATGAGTTGGTTCTCCTAGCTCAGTGGTGGCGAACCTAAGGCACGGGTGCCAGAGGCGGCACTCAGAGCCCTCTCTGTGGGCACGCGCGCCATCGCCCCAGTCCTAGGCCTTCAGCTGGATTTTATAAAACCTTCTCGCTTTAGGCCTCCACTGCCGTGTGCCCAAAAAAAAAAAAAAAGGTTCAATCAATCAGTCAATTTCAACTTCTCACAGGGAAAAAAAAAGATTTTGCAAAGTTGGAATTGATTGATTGAATTTTTTAGTCCCACCCAGTCTGCCATTACCACTGCAGCCACGCCCACCCAATGGGCCACGACTACCCGGCACTCAACAATACATAAGTGGGTTTTGGGTTGCAGTTTGGGCACTCAGTCTCTAAAAAGTTCGCCATCACTGTCCTAGCTGATCACTGTGTGAAGGAAAATGCTGAATTAGAGACTTCATTCCAGTCTGAAGAGATCCTTCATTTGTTCTTACTGATTCTGAATTTCGTTTTAAGACATGAGTACTTCATTTTATTGTAAATAATATCTAAACATTCACTAAAGCTTTGATGCAGCTCCTTTGATCGTTTACTTCTTTAGTTTTTATATGAACTGATTATGAAAACTGCTAGTAGAAACAAGAGAAAACATTTCTGAACGCAGTATCCACTTCTTAAAGCAGTACTATCAACAAAATATAGTTATAGTCTTTCCGAATAATCAAACTATGGTTATTAAAAAATCAACTTGCAATCCCATGAAATTTTCTTATATAAATTCTAAATAAATAAAATTAGTGTTTGTTCTCAATAGACATACTTAAGGTTTCTCCATTATGCCCTACTGAAAGAGATGGACAATACATAAACAGCAATTAAATCATTACATTAGTTTCTATTGTCTATGGAGATTCTCAGTCATTCAGGTCATGGTTGTCCCAAACTTGCTTTTTCAAAAGGCAACTGGACTTTCTTGTTTTCTTTGAAGACGTTTCACTTCTCATCCAAGAAGCTTCTTCAGCTCTGTTTGGTTTTTATTGTGTTTATTACAACTAAGTTATATCTGGAGTCTTAAAACTTCAAGAAACAGTATAGATTCTCAGAAACTCTAAATACAGCCCTACTTTAATTTAAGACAGAATACAAAAGACTGTGAAACTGTGTTAGAAATTAGTGTTGATCTTTTATAATTATTATTTTTTCAGGAGTTAAGGGTTAATCGAATCTCAATGCTGAATTTTAAAAAGAAAATGTCAATAAGATGCTTTTTTTAATAAGCATGTCAATAAGCATGCCATCTTTCACCTCTAAAATAAACACATACACCTACATTAAATCTCCCTGTTTTTAATATCAAAATATTTTGAAAATGGAACCATGCTGGATTTTAAGTGAAATGCATATTAAAATATTCAATGGGTCTTTACAGAAAGTATCTTTTGGGGCTACTGTGGGCAATTATTTTCATCTCTTGTTCATGTATGGCATTTTAAATCAAGTAATTTACCTGACTCCTCCTACTATATCTTCTCTATCAACTAGTCTGTAGTTATATAAACTTCATACACATTTGTTTATATAAAAATAAATCTATTCTTTACTGAGACCATATGTATTTGGAATGAAGCTTTCTATTGATTCTTTTATTGATGCTTCAAATTATATTAATGTATACATAAGACATTCTTTATCTTCTATTTAAGAAGATATTCACATTCTGCAGATGTGAAATTTCTATTTGGAAAAAATCCCATAATTTAATTCTTATAAGCTTGCATTGTATAAAGCACAGTAGGACGTTGATTTTTAGTTGCAAACCTTTTGACAGGCATTCTTAACAATAACCTAAAGAGAAGTCAGTGTATTCCTAATCATAAGGGAATGAAGCCCTAGCACATATTCAACTGAGATATAACTTAATTCTGTACAGCAGAATTCCTGATTATCTAAAGGCAGCAACTGAGGCTGAAAAGAGTGTCTAATTGCACAAGGAACTGGTTAACAATATGTCTTTCTTTAAAAAAGAAAACTAATTAGAACAACAGGTCCTCAAATCAGTTCTGTACCAATACTGTACACAATTGGGTACTATCCATGTAGTAAAAATAATAGGCAATTAAATATAGAAATAACTTGCTGAATCTATAAAGCAACAGCCACTGCTTTTCAATCAAGATAAAAGTGGAAAAAAAATCTTTATCCACCAACATCTAAGATAAGATTAACAAGAATATTTCATTTTTCAAAAATTTACTTGCATACACCAACCCAATGAGAAAACAAAATTGTCCAAGGTTTCTAGCACATTAAATAAATAACTGAAGAAAGAAAATTCCCCATCTTCTTTCTTGCTTTGTAATTAATTTCCAAAGTAATTTCCAAAACAAATAGACAGGAAATAAAGAAGAAATACTGGAAAGTGGATAAAGAGACAGGGAGGGGGTTATAGATCCTCAAATAATTCTCCCATATATTCCTTCCAATTTTGCATTATTTATAAAGAGAAACGGAATTTTAAAGCATTTCTTTCTAATTTATGCCTGGAAATTGAACAATTGATCCACTCAGAGACAACATCAGATTGATTAAAGAAAGAAGAAATTGTATTTATACTTCAGAAGTCTAGAATCCATTTAAATTTATCTACAAATAAGAATGAAAAACTCTCCCTGTTTTCAAAACTATTTTCCAGAGAGGTATGTGGGCTAAACCTGATACTGGTCATCCTGAAAAGTAGAATCAATTATTTTTCAAAGAATGTATCTAAGATACAATATATTATACATCAGCTGAATTACCTGCTATTTATTCTCTGTCCAATTAACTTGACCTAATTAATTATAATTTTTCTAAGCAGACAAAAATATTTCATTTGACCATCAAGACATTTCTTGGAACAATATGATATGGAATAAATGATTAGGCATTAAGTGATCACGACTAAGAAACTGCAATTTAGATATGAAGATCTATAATATGTGGAAACAGACATCTGCTAGTACAACAGAATTTTAACTGTAGACCGAATCTGCTTCATATGCCAGATCAGATCTGGAGTCATGTGAAACAACAGAAGGAGGAAAAAAAGATCAGGTTGTAGCTGTACTGGATGCAAGCTGAAGAATGTACTGAAATTAAAGTTTATCAGGCAAAAGACACAATGGTGCAATCTGTTTTTACCCCATTATTTCAGTAACACATGTTTGCTCTAACAAGGAAAACATTTGCACTGCAGAAAGTATTCACTTTCAGTGTATTGTAATCAAACAGGAGATAAAAATTTGTGCTCCCTTATTGAGCAATATCACAGGAACAGACAACTGTAGCAATGGGACTCTTCTGAAGAACTATCATGTACTCAAGATATTCTCTTTTTTTCGCAATATCTTAGTATATCATTTACATTTACATTTTATGTCTTCTTCTGCAGAATTTTTTGTAGACTACTCAGAGCAGAGGGTGCCATATAATTAGAGATGCAAGGTATTATTTCTGGTCGTTGTTTCTGTGTAATATATTGTTTTATTAGGAGACACTGGACATAGGCTGCCTACAGTCTTTCATTATATCATAAACAAATTGATGTAATGAAATCAACAAACATTTTCTTATTTTTTTTCCAATGTCTTCCCTGCCATCACTCTTATTTAATAGGTTGTTTATTTGTTTATTTACACAGTTACAGTATCTCTAACCTGCAGGATCCAATTTGTGTCAGTCATGGGGTCCATAGGGGGCTAGAGGAAAGTTCCCTGAAGATGGGGTCCAGCACGAGTCCAAAAGCTTGGAAGACAAAAACTCTGGTCCTGGTGACCAACCCAGATTGGATCTTGCAACACTATCCTGGGACACGTAAATGTGCTTTCATTCGTGAGAGATATCTATAAGCTATCCACTCCACAAACGGACCTGAGGTGGTTTACAATCAAAAATAATAACAACCAGTAAAATTAGCAATCTGTCTATCTGATCTCACTAAGCTAAAGTAGCCCTAGAATCTTCAGCATTCATATACTCTATAGAATAGACATGTTTTCTAGATTTTATGGTAGGCCAAGAGGTTAATGGCATTCCTTATCTTAGGAGCTAAGATATTCCAAAAGGCTAAGAGGACCACTCAGAAAGACCACTGGTTGATTGCCCATCTCCCTCATTTTCCATGGGATAGTGACCCTCAGCATGCCAGAGACCACACAGGACAAACCAAATTTGAGTAGAAGAGATAGTTCAGCAGGTACCATATAAAGACAGTAGTTAACTCTCTAAACTGAAAACAATCTGTAAGCAGTATAATGGACCACTGCACAGATATAATGCTGCTAGCAAAGGGCATCATATGTCAGTTGGAGCTTCTGAGTTTTCTTCAGAGGCAGCTCCATGTAGAATTGACTACAACAGTCTACGCACAAAATTACTGTATCTGTTTAGTTGATCTAACTTAAAATGCAGAATGATCCTATATTACAGCCTTTGTAGCTCAAGCGCCTATATGACAAAATCAACAGTCATATCATAGAATACCTAATCCTCCAGCATGTGCATCAATAAGAGAGGCAGCTACAGCAATCCCCTTAGACAGACCAAGATCTTCTGCAGCTTCTGCTGTTAATCCATTTCCAACTGGACTTCCTGGAGGGAGAACTTCATTTCCTAAGCAAAAACAAGGGGGGGGGGGGGAAATCAAAGGCTTACGGTGCTGAAACAAATCATAGTTCTCTATGTCCCTAGACTGGGACAACTTCTTTTTTGCTTAGCAGATGTAATACTGCAGTTTATTTTAAAATATACTTATATAAGATATTAATCAGGGCAAACAAACCAGGCCACAGGAACAAGAAGTCTAGGTCAGTGTTTACAAAGTGCAGTCTGAGGATCCCTGGGAGGGTCCCTCAAGATCCGCTCAGGGGTCCACAAAATTAAAATTATTTGCCAACTTATGTTAAAAAATAATATAATGTATACGATATTATATTGTATATGATATTAAAATCCCAGCAAACAATTGTGAGAAGCAATAGTGGCAGTGAATGCATCACATTTAATTTTAATACAATAAATATTGATAAATATAACTCATATAAACAAACACTCTCTAGAGGTCCTCTATAATGTTTAAAAGTGGAAAGTGGTCCTGAAAGAAAAAAGTTTAAGAAACACTTAATAGTTTTGTAATTTTTTTTATAAAAGGATCGCCCACCGGCAGATATCATATTGAAAGTCTCTCAAATATTAATATGTGGGAGGGAGGGAAATCCCTGCTTTTGCTTTTATTTTGGTTTTATTTTTTCAAATCATAAACATAGAAGCTTGTACATTATAGTATATTCCCCTCTCCTGAAGAGATCCTGAACCTCTGGCCTTTTAGAAAAAGATGGGAATTGACTTTATGATCATACTGTCTTGTAAGATCTGAGACAGCAAGCAGAAATAATATACATATCCAAATAATTTTGCTAAACATATGAAGGCTTTTCTACCCGCACGCTACATGGAGTCAGCAAACAAGGAGCGGGAATCATATTCTCAACAGTGCATGCCTTATTTTCAGAGAAGATGGAAACAGCCCAAGCAATGCTAATATTCCAAAAGTTTGAAATTACATTGGGTTACTAGAAAAAGTGTACCTTCAGATCTGTACGAAAGGCAGAATACGTCTGTCTTCAAGACGAAGAAAAACAAACGCACCATAAACACACACTAAAAGCAGACTTCTAATTTGGCCATTTTAATATTTTAGGTAATCTTAACTTAGATATATATTAAATTGAGGGTTCTCATTCAGTTGTTTGAGACAGAGACCTTCTTTCACTGAAACCTTCACTTATGCCATCTCTTTTTCATGGCTGACATCTCATTTTTTGAAAAGGCTTCTTTCATCCTGTGAAGTGAAAAGCAAGTTTACCAAAGGAAAAAGCTGTCTGAACTGTTTCCTTTTCCTTTATTCTTGTCTAAACTCTGGCTGAGGAATTTGCTTCGCTTGTGTTTTGCTTAAAGAAAACGTAGGTGCTCTAATGCTAGTGATCTTCCCAGGCAGTTGCCAAGTTAACCAATTATTTATCAGGCAACACTACATCTCTGGTTAACCTGAGCAAGTAAATCATAGGGTCCAAAGCTATCTTAATACTTACTAACATGAGACACTTCATTATTCACTTGACTTTAAAAACAACAAAAGAAAAATCCAGCAAAGGGGTCCAGTTGATTCAACCATGAGGTGTCCACTTATTCAAGCAGTGCTTTTAATTTGTTGTGCAGAACTAGCGCCATTTATGTGGAACTAAAATTGGCTCCATCCCAAAAGAATCTGAAAGGAGAATAGCTCACTTGTTAAGTTAAAGTGGTGTCTACAGAAAAACTTAGTGTGTTCATCTTAGTGCAAACCTCACTGACTTTGAGTAACCCTTCTCAATGAAAATATATTGTACTGAATTAGGACCACAATCAAAGTCTTAACACTTGGTTCCAATTTATTATGGTTAGATCTGAGTTAAGCAGAGATGGGCAGTCATAAACCTGTGCCATCCTCAGTACCCAGTTTGCAGTTATCTTTACCAAAATATGGTGGCAAAATAATAGAATTTTGGGGAATAGTGTTTCTGGTTTTAGAGGGGTTTTTTTCTGAATTAAGGGAAAGCTTCTGAGAGATAACTGATAGTACAAGCAACATGCTGCAAGTATCAAAAAGGGATAAGAAATAATAGCATTTTTTTTTTCTTCCTAGTTTTTTCCCTCAAGCGTAGGATCCACTTTTTTCAGATCAACCAAGTGTTGGTTGCAACAAGAATTGACTGACCACCTAGTTGCCTGAGCCTGACATTGTGGGCTGAGAAAGAGAGATTGGCCCAAATCACCCTGCCAGCTTTCATAGATAAGGCAGGACTAAAAATCACAGTCTCCTGGTTTATAGCCTGGTGTATTAATCACTAGACCAAATTGGCTCTCGAATAAGAAATAAATAAGATTAGAGCATGAAGTAAAAAGAAGAAATATATATATATTTAAATCTAGCTTATACCAATGCCATTCATCCTTCTTCTCCATACCTTCCTAGGGGCATTCCCCAAAAGTCAACACTTTTGAGTAATGAGATGTCCACTATAATGTCCTGACACAAGCTCCATCCCTAACATACATATGTGTGATGTTGTAGCACAACTACAAAAGGGGAGATAGTGTGCTTCACAATTGAGGACACACATTTCATCTTTTATGCTTTCCCCCTTGCTTCTATACTTCTATGCATCAGTATAGATATCATTTTGTTCTATAAACCTCTCAACTCTTTCTGTTTGAAAACTTCTACCTCATCCAGCCACTATAGTCGTGTGTGATCAAAAACATCCCAATGGAACTACTTCAAAATTTCTTGGGTGCATCTAGCTGTGTGCAGGCAAGCATTATCATGAACCAACACCACACCGGAAGTGGTGCCATAGAAAATCCCACCAAATGTGAAGATGCCAAAGGAGTACTGCTAGTGAAGTTCATGTAGTGTGGTCTGACCATCAGTTCAGAAGTCTACTGTGAAATGTTATTAAAACTCAGACAAGCCATCCATAACAAGCATCGGGACATGCTGACTTCCGATGTGGTGTTGGTTCATGATAATGCTCGCTCGCACACTGCTAGACGCACCCAAGAACTTTTGAAGCAGTTCCGTTGGGTTGTTTTTGATCACACACACCCATAGCCCAGATTTGGCGCCAAGCGACTACTACTAAGGAATTTCAAACCTTGTAAGACATTATGACAAGTGCCTCAATTTGAATGTGATTATGTCTGTCATTGATAACCAAACAGAGGTTTATTTCCAAATTGCCCTCGTATATAGTTGTTTTGATAATACAAGTTGAATCCATTCTTAAAATGTGAGGGTTTTTTATTCACTTACAAAAAATACTTCAGTCATATAAAGAGAATAAATTAGCACAAATTGTAGAATAAATGCAAACAGAAATACAGAAATAACAGACTGAAAAAATAGTGGCTGGATGAAGTGGAAGTTCTCAAACAGAAAAGTAATGTAATGTTGTAGTTTTCTAATGTGTATAATAAAATTTCTGTATCTGTGAGTGTCTGTCATTGATAACAAAATGGAGATTTATTTCCGAATTGCCCTCGTAATTTTACTTAATTTTAAAAAACAAACATGAAAATAAGTGGGAAATCGAAATTTCTTAGATGATTTTCCTTTCTAAGCAAATAAGCAAATAATCATATTCTATATACTATAGCATGCTGTAAATCTCTTAAGCAGCGCAAAGGAATGTGAATTCAAGCCACAGCTATGCATAGTGATTCTAGGCTTGTTACAATGAAGTAATCAAGGCAATGCAATTATCTGTCAGTTAAATAAATAAATCTATCGCTCCAGCTCATTTAAAAAGGAAAGATAGGGAACCATAGAACACTTGAACTGCAAGATGATTCAGTACAGAATGATGCGTTTCTAGATAGACCTTGATTGTTGAAGGCACAAATAGTCCTCTGTGGCACAAAGTTCTTTACAAGAAGTGTGTGTTGGAAAGCCAACTAACCCATGCTGTAGTAATCTTATGACTGGATTATCGCAATGTGTTATTCAAGGGGCTGCTACTAAAGATGTTCCAGAAACTTTAGTTAATATAAATAAGGCAGTAAGAACACTGATTTTACCCAGCCAGTATGATTATATCACTCCCGAATAATGGCATCTATACCAACATAGAGATCACTTCTAGTCTCATTTCAAAATGCTACTTCTATTAGTAAATTCACTTATGGTTTAAGTCTATGTTATCGAAAGGAATAGCTCTTTCTATATATTTCTGCCTTACCCTTAAATCAATTCCTGAGGCTCTGATATGGGTGCCATAATATAAAAGCTGAACCAGAAACATAAAGGTGATAGCCTTGCAACTTCTCAGAGAATATGTGTGACATCTATTTTGTTATGGTTTTTTTAGGATCAAGGACCTATTTATTGTCCAGGCTTTTTATTGTGTAAAAAAAAATATTTATGCTTTTCAATTTAATTCCTTTCTGTTGCTTTATTGCTCATACATTATATATGTTCCCTGCTTATTTATTTGCAACAGAAAATACAAGATGTTCTCCCCATTGAAAATAGTTAGAACAAAACAAGAGAGCATATTGTACATATGTTGCTGTCATATTAGCCATATTGTCACTCTTTATCTATTCAGTTAACCATGGGTAATTGTATTGCTGGCAATTATCAGATGACTGTGTGTGTTTTTGTATTGCGCTCCAATATTCTTTTATAAAGACTTATGTCAAAGCATTTTTATTATTTTTGCTAAACACACACACACACACACAGGATTTCACCATCCTGACCATAACAGCCACACAAAATATTATTGAGGGCTTGTTAAGATCTAGCTATTTTGTTACTTGTCAATCATAGCTACTGGAAAAATAATGAAATCTCCTAATTGCTAGATAGCCAACTTAATAATTTTGATCAGTGGATGCTACTTGCTGTAGAGAGGAAGACAGTAAAAACTTTAGGTAGGGTATCCACGATCAGTGATTTTGGAAGCCACATCTAGGACTCTATATCATATTGTGTCAGAATTATATATAGTTCACTTCAGGGTTATATAAATTTAAGGGTGTGTTACTAATTTTTTTTAACCATGAGTATT